GAGGTGACCGTGGGCACGGAAACAGGCCTGAGGCAGGACCACTCAACAAATGGACGAAGCGGGCGAGCGGGTATGTTCAAGCTTAGAGCTTTCAAACGCAAATTCCGATCGGATGTGAGAAGTACCACCTCCCTCGTCAAGCGCATTGGCTGATCTAAAAAACCGCACAACAATATTCTTACCAATGAGATGGAGTGCCTCTAAATGTTTTGAATACCAGTGCCCTGAAAGAGTTTTGCTGGAATAAAGGAAACTAACAATTAAACCCCGTCTTAGCAATGTTAGTTCAATGCAACTGAAAACAATCTATACTAGCATCACCCATTCATGACATTCGTTAATGCTGTTTAAATGATAGAAATCGGAAAGATACATAAATGCACCATCGAGAAAAGCAGAGGTTCTTACTCTTCGATTCAGGAGTAGATACAATGTTGCCATCGCTGGGCATCTGTGCTAATACTTCCTTACAAAAGCGCCGACAACATGTGAGAATTACGTCGTCGTTGATTTGGCCAGGTTGCTTACCCCCATTGACCTCGTTACGATAGGCAATGGTCTCCAGCATACTGCCTTTAGCCGTAAGGGCGCGTAGCCTTGGGTTCCGGTGGTTAAACTCGCGCTCCAAAAAGGCTATAGCAGCTTTTGCACGCTCCTGAATTAAGTTAGCACGGCCGCCACCACCACCGTTATCGCTCGTGGTAGAGGTGTGATTAGTAAGATACTGTGCAAAAGTAACTTCGATAGAGTTGAAAGCAAACGCTCTATCTTGAGATGCCAAGAAGTCCAATTCGTTGAAGACTAAAAGAGATCAAAGCAGAACGAAATGCTTTAGGTATAAGCATTCAATTGCCAAAAAAATAATGCTTGGAATAGGTTGACCACCCAAATCTTTGACATTACACGATGTCAAAATCACTCTACACTGCCGTTGAGCAACTAAGTATCTAAAACACCCAGCTTATTAGTAGCAAATGCGATACTGCGCTACACAAATGGATTAGGAACACACCAATAATGGGCACAAGGACGGTGTAATTTGAAGAGGCTTGGGTGAGACGTGCGACGCCCTCCAGCCAGTCGATGTAACAGTTAGTGTCCGGAAGAATGTAGATAGGCCTGACTTCAATTTCAATGCCACGCGGACCGCCCGCAGCCGCCAGCCGTACGGCCTGTTGCCGCCATGCCTCGAGACGTCTTGCCTCTGTTAACTGGCTCCACAGCAAAGCACGTCGACGGCGCAGAGCACAAATTTCTTCACCACCTTCATTGTCTTCAAATCCTTCCTCCTCAACTCTCAACGCAGTTGCTGCACTCTTGCCATCAGTCTGCACGGACACGTAGTGGAAAGCATCTGAATCCCATCTCGTGGTTTGTCAAATAATTTAATAAAACTGATTAGAGAAAATGATCAGAACTTCCATACTTAGGTGTGAACTTCAAAGCATATTTATTGAGCCACATCAGCTACAAAACCCAAAAAATAAACCAACTGAGAAAATACTTGTGAGTCTGTCTCAGACCCCTCATCGTTATGGGTCAGAGATTCGGAGTCATTGGCATGGCATGGAGTGGGTTTCTTAATTGATGTCTGCTCGCAGGACTCGCGCTCAACAATTGGTTCGTAGATTGACTTGTCAACGTCAAAAGAAAGGACTGGTGGCTCAATCCCACAGAGGAAATCACCAAACAGCAAGATCTTCTCAATACGAATGTAGTGTGCCACGCTTTCTTCATCCCAGTCCCCGGTGTACTGATACATCTAAGCACATCAAAATTGGCACAAGGCAGAGTACACTTTTCCTTCGAGCCGTACTATGACATTGCATCGTGAAAAAAAAATGGAACATAAGAAGCAATTAATTTTCCCACAAAAAAAGCGCAGTGGATAATAAGAGAGATGTATCGCCCCCATTTCGATTGATAAACAAAAGCGCTTGGCCAGGAACTGTCTTCCTCCATCACATTGCACTTGTTCCATTTCGAAAACCATTCTCTAATTCATGCTAACAATGACTTTGACAGTTTGTTTTTAACAAATATTCTGACAGTCAGAAGGTTAAGTAGTATATAAGTATGGGGAAAATGCAATGATTTTAAAACTTGCCAATACTTCAGCATAAAACTTATTAGTAAATCCTTTT